TATTGACGGGAATGTTGCCTGGTTTTTCCTCTGTGGAAAGTAATATGGAGATCACTCTGAAAAACAGGGCCAGAGTACCCATAAGACCCATTTATACCATACTTCTTGGCATCTGTCTCTGGGTTCTGGGTCCAGGTCTCAGCTGGTACAGATGTGTGTTGATTCAAGCCTTATAGCAGGGGGGCTGGTACAGCCCTCATTACTTTGGAGGGCTGGCCTCCACAGCAGTGCTTGGGGCTGCTCCCAGGGATATCCAGTGGTGCTCTTTAAGAAAAAAATGCCAGGGGCCACCAGGGTCATAACCCCCAGTGGTGTTGGGCAACAAGGAGCACGTGGTTCTGAGGGGAGAGAAGGAGTGGAGATTCAATTTAGAGCCTCTTGCATTCAAAGCATGTACCCTGCCACTTGCACAATCTCCCCAGCCCCAGATGCTATAAGCATTCACTCTGTTTATTCCATCTCTTAAAGCAAGGGTGCAGTGAACAGCACAGGGCATAGCGGCAGCCACTCTGCTGAAGAAGGAGCCTGTATGTCTAGGTAAAGAGAACTGCCTGTGCAGAGGATGCAGTGGAAAAACTGGAATGTTTAAAAAATGGAGCTGTTTCATTTCTGGAAAAGTGACCAAGGGACATTGAACCCCCTTGGGTTGTCTTTTTAACACAGTTGGGAGCTTATTCTATGCCTTGAAAAGTTCTTTTTCTAGTAGCCTCTGCATTGTATCTGAGCATTCTACAAATCTGTGTGGAGAAGAGCCACAAACCATCAAAACCTTATTTTGTTGGGTTTGGCCAGCACTCTGAGTCAAGCCAAAGTGCACCATCCCACTCTATCTTCCGTCTCTAATCTGCAGCCACAAAGCGACACACCTGAAAGCCAGGTGTGCACTCTGGGCCAGGGGAAGTGGTGCCGTGAGTCTACTTTCCTGTTGATTCGGTGTTGACAGGTTGCTCACCTCCCACAGAAATCCTTCAGGCCACTTTCCATCCCCAGGGTCAGATTCCATTTCTATCCATCCTGGTGACAGCTGAGGGACCTGAAGGTCAACAGCTTTGTTCTCTGTGCTCGCTGCTGCCCCTGTTAAGGTGGAGAGAGTGGCCGGAGCCCAGGTGCAGGGTTGAGGAGAAAATGGGCTGGGACTGGAGAGTTCCTACAGCCGATGAGGCATGCAACTGACCTGGGTTTGATTCCAGGCATCCATAGAGTCCCCTGAGCACCGCCAGGAATGATTCCTAAACACAGAATAAAAAAATAAAAACTTTTTAAAAAAGGAAAGAAAAGAAGGAAAAGAAAACAGGGGCTTTCTGGAAAGTTTTTTTCCCTGTTCCAAAACATAACTCATCAACCCAGGAAAGAGAGAGGGACAAGGTCAAAGTCCACAGTCACCTAAGTGCTAGTCACAATTGGTCTCACTCACATGTGAGAGAGCAGGGAGCATGGAGAAAGGAGAACAGGGTCCGGGCCTGTGCCCCTGTTCACACTCTGCCCCCTCCCCCATAAGTATTTGGTCTTGGCAGGCTCCAAGGGACCTAGAAGAAGGCAAGTGGATCAATCAAAGGGGCCAGGGAGATGGTTGAGCAGGCTGTAGTGTCTGGAGCCTCAGAATGAATCCCGGGCACAGTGACCACTGGGACCCCCCCAGAGCTTCACCTTGGGAGTTGCCCCTAACAAATAAAATGCAGACAACAAAAGAAAGAAATATTCACTGGGTAGCATAAGCATTTGCTTTTCTTTCTCCTCTATTTCACTACTAATTGAAGAAACCAGGAAATAAACACAATCACAAAATGCTCCCTAGCCCTACCCATGCCCCCAAAAGAATGAAACCTTGAATACAGGAGTTGAAGAAAGGCCCTGAGAACACATACAGCTAATTCAATTCTGGGAATTTGTTAAGAAGACTAAATGGGCAAATAGATGCCTGTCATGATATGGATCACAGCATGATATATAATGGCAAAACTGGGAGGAAAGCTTAATAGCTGCAGAACCTAGGTTAAACAAATTGGACTACTTATAGAACAAAATGCAGTGGAGACATCTAGAAATAGCAGGGTAGAAGCAACCTTATATATCAACTTGCTCACATGTCTAGATCTTCAAAAGAGCAAGTTAACAAAGCAAATTACAGAGATTGAAGTGATAGCACAGTGGATACAATGCTTGCCTTGGAGATGGCCAATCCAGGTACAGCGTCTGGCACTCCATATGGTCCTCAAGCCCACCAAGAGCACAGAGTCAGGAGTCTGTGCACCACTGGGTCTGGCCCAAAAACAAAACAAAAAGAAGCAAGTTGCCAAATGGCTTTCACAGTGTGATTCCATATCTTGACTTAAAAACATAGGCCTAGAGGCCAGAAAGATAGTTTGCGTTCCTGCCAACCAGGTTGGATTGACAACACTAGATATGGTCTCCCAGTAACATTAGGAGTGAATCCAGAGTGCTGCCAGTGAGGCCCCAAAACCAAAAATAAGTAAATAAATATAAAACAGGAAAATATGTGTATGTTCTTGTCAAAAAATTATGTATTTTTATATTTAAAAAGACTGATGGACTGGCGAGATAGTACATGGGTTAAGATGCTTGCCTTACTTTATGACCCCCTGAATAGCTCCAGAAGTGATCCCTGAGTAGAGTTTGGGTATGAAGCTCTGAACATTGCTAGTTGTAGCCCCCAAGCCCCAAAATAAATAAATTCCTGAACTCCCCATTGAAATGCTGATGATAGTTGGGGAGAGGGGGTTAGGGGTGGGATTTTCCTTGTGTCAAGTTTTGCTTATGAAAGCCATTTACACACTTTCCCTGGTGCGAAAGCTCTGTGGGCTCATCTCTGCCACTCAGGGGCTCAGACATCTGTGCTCCCACATTTGTGTTGTACAAGCTGACTCCTGGCGGGCACGTGCCTGACCCTGACCCCCCCCTCAGCAGCTGTGTCCCTCACCCTCCTCCCTGAAAGGAAGGAAGCGGCTTCTGTCCTCAGCTGCTTTATGACAAGACTTAAAGGCGTGATTTGTGTCATTCCCTAGAGGAAAAAGTGAGTGAGTCAGAAATTCTAGGTAAGAAGTCAGATAACGTCTCACCTCTAATATATTTGCCTGTCAGAATGTGGATGCTGTCTCTTTTTTTTCCCCTAGGGGTCAAGCGTAGAGTGATAAATGGGAGAATTGGGTATAGGTTAAGGCCTTCTGGGGCACAAAGATCAGATGAAGCTTTAATAGAAGGTAAACAGAAAAGGAAGAAATGATGTTTGTGACAAATTTATGAGCACCTTTTTTTTTTTTTTTTTTTTTTTGCTTTCTGGGTCACACTCGTAAATGCACAGGGATTACTCCTGGTTTTGCACTCAGGAATTACTCCTGGCGGTGCTCAGGGGACCTTATGGGATGCTGGGAATCGAACTCGAGTCAGCCGTGTGCAAGGCAAATGCCTTACCCCCTGTACTATCGCTCCAGCCCCTTTACCTCCCTTTATTTCTCTTCAAGAAGTTTATTTTTGAATTTTATTTTAAGGTGTGCTCCCAAACAGTGCTCGAGGTCCAGGCACCTCACCAGCCATTCTTAGTCAACTGAAGTAGAGGTTCACTGCATCGGGTTGAGGATACAATGCTGCTCAGGCCTGCAGTTGTGAGGCACCCAGAGCACCCCAATGGTACTGGAGTGCCTCCCGGTCACACCAGGCAATGCTCAGGGGACCATGTGGTGTTGGGGAGCAAGCCCAGGTGGGGTGTATGTTAGGCGCCTCTGTACTACCTCCTGACTTAAACTGTTTATGTATTTATTTTGATCTTGGAGTCTGTGTCCTGCAGTGATCAGGGGTCACTCCTGGTGGTGCTCAGGGTTTAGTGTGGTTCTGGAAATCAAGCCCGGGCCTCCTGTGTGCAAAGCATGAGCTCCAGCCCTGTGAGCCATCCACTTTCTCCTGAGCAGCTATTTTTGTTTAATTTTTTTTTCCATTTTATTTTGTCAGTTTGGCAGCAAGACTCCACCTGGGTGGTGTCAGGATAGAGTTTCTCTCATTCTCCCAGGCATGGTTTTATATGGCGGATAAAACCTCTTCTAGTGGTTCAAGGACTGGGAGTGGCAAGTACTGGGGGGCAGAAAGAATGAGAAGAAAGACACCAAAAAAGGAGGAACCAAGAAGAAGCAAACAGAAATCAAGTTAGGAACAAAGGATCCCAAAGTGGATTGTGGTGGGGTGCTATGTTCAGCAGAACAATAAGCTTTAAATTCTGAAACCCTATTGCATCTCAGTCCTATAAATCCATAAGATCAAGAGGAGACGAAGTATGGAAAATTGATGTGAGTGTGTCTGTATTAGGGAGGAACTGGAAAAAAAGAGATGGGGGCAGGGGACAAGGAATTGAAGATTTAGCCATGTCCAGGAGCTTTTCAACACTTAGTTGTCCAGCAACATGCCAGCATTTAGACCTTCCTCACCTTGCTGAAGTTCAGGAGAGGTAACGGGAAGGGAGGAAAAGTTCATTTGGAGGAAGGAGGCGGTCTAGCTGCTTATCTCTCCCAAGTTCCTTTCCTGATATTTCCACTTCCGGTTCCCATAGACCATCTTAAGAAGTGGCTTTCTCTGCAAATGACTGACATATTTTCTTGACCACCTCTAAAAATTGGCGTTAAAAAAGTGTTATTTAACAAACTTTAACTGTTTATGAGTGCTTAAACACTCCCAATATCATGGTCTACAATCATGTGACGTTTTATCAGTTCCCCTCTTTTCAGAAAAGCCTAAATTCAGAGAGGTCATATAGTTTAGTAAGAGGAAAAGCCAATCTTCGAATCTAAGTCTTGTGCTAGCCTAGCACATCTTTGGTGATGTCATTGCAATACCTTCGAGTGTAAGAGCTGGGTCAGACATGTCAGAGCAGAAATCTGACATTTTGTTCATATAAGAAAGACAGTTCACACTGACCACCCAGAACCCAAAGGTTGATAGCTAGCCTCAAAGGTGAAAGCCCCAAAGGTTGTCAAGCTTCCTTAACTACTCACTAAAGCTTTGAGCAGTGGGAGTATCATAGCCAATGAGGGTTATCTGAGGCACGATTATTGCTAATTGAAAACTTAATTATTCACTAAAGATCTAGCACTTGAATATATTTGATCTGTTAGGAATTATTTGGATTTTTATCTTGAACCCCTAGAGTGGGTTCCAGCTGGTTAAGGGCTAGTTGACAGAATTCCCAAGGATGTCTTGGTAACAGACCCAAGTTCTAGTTGTTAAACTGAATTCCTGCTTCTGGAAGCAGATGGTGATCCTTTCGTTCATTTCTATGTAACTCTTCTCCTCCTGAGGGTCATTTACTGCCCGGAGCATGGAGAAGGGTGAGGGGCTGGCCATCTCCAAGCCTAAAGGTAGCTTGAGACCTGAGATCCTGGGTTCCCCCTCAGCTTCTGCTCCCTCTTTCCCAAGGGTTTCGCACTAGTCAGCTCAGGTCCTAGGTCCTCTCACTATTTTAGTCACCCTCACTCTGATTCTGTAGAACATCCATCTGCAAGGAGAGGGGGCAGAGACTGCTCTATTGGTTCAATCCTGGCACTGGGCAAAGCTTCATACCACACGAGACTCTGACTCTTTCTTTCTGGAAAGTGCAGAGCCATCTTGAAAATAAAGAAAGAAAGCTTCCCCAAGGACTATAGCTGAAGCAAGTGGCCTCTTCCTAGGGCCTCTGGTGCCAGAAGAGAGGTGAAGAAAAACTCTTCAAAGAACACTTCTTGGCCTTTGTCTTTTGCTGAAGTTCCCATTTTATGTTATTTTTTGAAAAGGGAACATTTCTTAGAGAAGAATGGGGTTGTGTCTTTGACTTCATTTTTTTTTTTTTGAAAAATACTTCCTTTACCCCATTGTATCTTCTATCTTTGGTTTCTCTTTTACTCTGTCATTTTTTCCTCTTCATTTTTTGAATCCCTTCAGAGGAAAGTGTCAGAAGCTCTAGCATCAATCTTTGTGCACACACAACACAATGTTTCTTTTATATATAGTCTCTTCTTTAATCTTCACAATACACCCCAAAAGGGTATTGTGATGACCTATTTGCACATGAGGAAGTTGAATCTGGGAGGGGTGAAGTATTGCCTCTGATACTGCTTCCCTTTGTGTGTCATATTTACTCCCAAGTACTCCATTAAAAACTGTGATACTTGGACATGATGCCTCTGTTCAAACCCTCATGGCAGTTAGTGGATATTCCAGAACAAATCAGGAATCGTATCGTTAGGGATGGGGTAATGACATATGAATAGATCAGAAATTATGGTTCATATCTACAATGGACTTTTTCTATTAAAAAGAAGAGAGAGAGAGAGAGACCAGGGCTGGAGCAATAGAACAGCAGGTAGGGTGTTTGCCCTGAACACGGCTGACCCCAGCATCCCATATTGTTCCTCAGCCAATGTCAGGAGTAAGTCCTGAGTGAGGAGCCAGAAGTAACCCCTGAGTAATTCCTGAGTGCAGAGCCAGGAGTATCATCGGGTGTGACCCAAAAAGCAAAAGAACAACAACAACAAAACCAAAGATCAAGTCCTGAAATCCTGCCTTTTACTGCAACTTGGCTGGAGCTCGAGGCAGTCAAGACGAGTGAAAGAAGTCGGAGAGCGAAGGGGAAACATCAGAGGAGCTCCCCTTGCGGTAGATTGAGAAACCAGGCTAAGGGTAGAACTGTTCTGAGTCATGGCTCCATGGGGTTACCATGTGGGGAGAGAGGGACGGAAAGATGTGAGACTAGACGTGAGACTAGTCCAAGACAGTGGTAGAGGGTCTTGGGCACTTTGGGTTGGTGGAGGAGAAATAACTATGTTCACCGGCAGCATAAGCATAAACACTATTGAAACATGTTACCTTGACGACCAACTAAAAATAAAAAATACATACAGATAGCCAACAGGCACACGAAAAATTAAAATAGGTCATTGGAGAGAAGTAGGACACAGCCTCCTGTGGCCTTGCATAACTGAGGCGTAAAAAGTGGGTGAGTCAGACAGGTTAATGCCAAAGGGCACCCCCATTGCTCCTGCAGCCTTTTAGCTCCCTGCTGACCCCCCAGGAGGCACATCCTGTACCTCCCAGTGGCCCACCCTTGCCACTGAGGACAAGTAAGGGCAGCAGGCTGCTGCTGTTTGGTGCCAGCATATTACAGAATCGACAGAAGTCAGTCTCAGACCAACTTTCTCTTTAATCACAGAAGCTTTGATAAAACAAATCCTTAAAAGTTCCTCATTATGTCCTCTAAATTTTTTCATGTTTTGTTTTGAAGACTCAGCTAGCCATCCCAGGGTGCTACCACTAGTGGTGTTCAGGGCACTGTGCAGTGTTAGGGGCAAAACCTGGGGGTCCTGCAAGGAAAGCTTGTGCTCTGATCCCGAAGTTCTTTCAAGGACAGGATGAATAATCCTTTTAAAGTCATAACAGAAGAGAATCATTTGGCTGCTCCAAGTGAAGAAACTCCAGGCACAATTCAGCAGATTGCCCGTGGATGGGGCTGAGTGTGTGGGGTAGAAACCACTGACCCAAGTTTCTCCTTTCCAAAGGTCTTTATTTTAATGCTGGTGTCTCTGTGCCCAGCTAGGGAAGCACCCACTTCTCTTTCATGTGGGGCAGGTCCAGGCTGCCACTCGTTTAAGTCATCAGATTGTCCAGATCATCAACAAATACTTTTATTATTTATTTATTTATTTATTTATTTATTTATTTTATTTTGGGTCATACTCAGCGATGCACAGGGGTTACTTCTGGCTCATGCACTCAGGAATTGCTCCTGGTGGTGCTGGGGGGACCATATGGGATGCTGGGGGATCGAACCTGGGTCAGCTGTGTGCAAGGCAAATACCCTACCCACTGTGCTCCAGCCCCCAAATACTTATTTTTAGATTCAAAATGATGATGATTTCCTCTTCTTCCACCAGTGGGGCTTTGTTTGTGAGTATTATCAACAAGGATATAAAGCAGAAAGTTTTCCAGATTATTTTTTCATTCCCACTGACATTTGATAGAGCATTTCCGAATTGGACCCAAAGCAAAACAATATCATGAGGTGGAAAATCACCTCCATGGGAATGAAGAATGAGCTGTAGTACTTAATGAATTAATTTTTTCCCTTTAAATTATAGTTTAGGTAGAAGGGTTTTACTAGTGTTAACATTTATGGTATTGATGTGTGAAACTACTGCACACCCCTGCCACCTTAATGCCCATAACACCAACCCCACTGTCCCTGTGTCACCTCTTGTCTGACCTTCCTTTCCCTCCACACTTCCCCATTATTTATTGATTGACAGCTATGGTTTGGGTGCCTCTGCTATCTCTTTTGGCACCACCCATGTGCTCCAGACTCTCCACTTATGTTCTCATGTTACTTCCAGTCAACCTATTATTCCCCTGCCCCCCACCTTTAACCTCTCAGGTCTATATTAGAGTATCCAAGGTTTATTATTGATTAATATTCTTCAGGCCATTGATTTGCTTCTCTGTAAATCCCACTTTAGTGAGATCACCCTGTATTCGTCCTTCTGCCTTTGGCTTATTTCATTTTGCTCAGCATAATACCCTTCAGTTTTATCCAGGCATGGCTTTATTTTTTCTAATGATCAAATACTATTCCATCATGTATATATACTACAACTTCTTTATCCATTCATCTATTGTTGGACAGTTTAGTTACTTCTATATTCTGGCTACTGTAGTAAGAGCTGTGGTGAATATAGGTATGCACATATCATTTCAAATTACTGTTTTTGTTTTTGGGGATAGATACCTAGAAGTGAGAAGAATGGGTCAAATGGGAGCTCCATTCCCACTCTTTTGAAAAATCTCCATATGGTTTTCCATAGCGGCTGGACCAGGTGATATTCCCACTGATTTGTAGTCCTCTAAAATGTTCATATTAATCCTTTAAACAAGTGTACCATGGCCAGAAAACTGTACAGGAATCACAGTGCTTTTCTTATTTGTGGCTGACCTTGGTTTGATACCTGGCACTGCATATGCCCACCATCCCTGAGCATTGCCATGAGTAACCTCTGAGTACTTCCTGGAACAACCTCAAAGCATCCCTCCAAAACAAGTCAACACCTGGGCTTGCTGCTCCAGCATGCTGAGAAGGTCCCTGCATGCATTTATGGTGATGAGGTATGGGTCTTAGCCTAGCTCACGGAGTATCCAACTCAACCATTTTCTTAATGACAGAAACTGTCAATCCCTTAAATCCAACGTTTTCACCAGACAGGATTGGAAATGGGGACCCCACGGATAACTTCGTGGTTTAGGAAGCACCCAGAGCAATTATGAGATCCCGAGACTCATCCCTAATGCCATGTCTATGCCAATGTGGTAGGACCATTTTCTGGATTCCCAGAAGTAGGAAAAAATAAGACAAAACTTGTGGGGAGTTAGGGAACATAGAGTCTAAGAAACCACTCAAAGCAATCTACAATCCCAGTGTCCTCTTCCCAGCACCTATTAGTAGAAATGACAGTACCCACAAAGATTAATTGATGCCTCAAGATCCCTACATATGAGACCTTCTGATGACAAAGAGTCACGTTGGACTCCAAGTGCCTGGGAAACTCCTTCACTGAGCTCCTCTTAAAACTTGGAATTATTACTTAGGAGATCTTGAAATCTTAACACTTGTGACTGAAGAAAGCATGTCTGTCTCTGCATTAGATCAAATACAGAGAAGTGAAATTAGGGGCTCTGGATGGGAAACTGATTTTTACAAGGGATAGAAGGTGTGGTCTCACTTATCCATGTCTGGCCCAGTAATGAACAGCTCTATATCATCTGGCTGTATTTAATATCTTCATAATAAAGATCTCAGAGTGCCAGCCGGGAGAAGGATGGAAAGCAAGAGAAACACTATCCCAGATATGATGGCAGGCCAGTTCTCTACGTGGAAGTCTTGATTCTGACTGGAAGGAAGCTTGGGGCTAGATCTCAGCAGATAAGGTATGAGTTTTGAAGGTCAGAGTGAGAACCCAGGTTATTATGATGGTTTTCTGGAAACCTTTACCTCCTTGTCCTTGTCTCTAGTGCCCCATACCCAGACCTTTCTATTTTTATTTAATTTTATTTTTATAAAGTAGTTCACAATATTTGATTACACTTAATATTCAAACACCAATCCCACCACCATTACACCT